ATATACATATATGTAATTCACTAAAATGCAAGAATCTACTTACTAAGTTACTTATTTCTTGTAGAAAAACTCTCTAACCTTTTCATAATAATTAAGGATCTTACTTATAAATTTAACATAAATAGCATCAATGGTATAGTAAAAAAGTCAAAGTAGTCATCAAGTAATGTAAACAATTACTTGACATAATTAAGTCATTTTCCTTCGAATCTTAACTTGTAAGGAGGCTGAAAGCCGTGCTTGTTTTTATTCAAGCGGTTGAGCTGATTTTTTTCTTGCCTGAATTTGATGAGCCATGCATAATAAAGGCTTCACAAAAAAGTGCTATTTGCGCTAATAATAAAATCGGTTTTCTACTCGAAAATTGATCTTTAATAAAATGTACCCCAACACAACAGCAATACCATGTGATAGACTGGTATAAAATCAATACTTTTTCTAAAAAGAATGACCAATCATGGTACATTTAACTCATCAGAAAATTTAAATAACATAGAAAGTTCATTCTCCGAATTTAGATTTGAAAAAAAATGAGAGAAGTTAATTGAGTTATATGGGACAAAGCTTATATAATCTTTAAAAAATGCTTAAAAATAGTTAGAAAAAAGATAACGTGAGGAATCATCATAATTTCGGCCATTGTTTTGTATTCCAAAACTTAATATTAATGTTCGTTTGATTAACAAAATACTTCTAAAATCACTACAACATATTGGAGGAGGAACAATTGAATCGTTTCAAGTGCTAAATAAAAGGAAAACAACTAATGTTAGGTTTGATTTTCTCTGTAAAATAATCAATTTTTCAACAAATATCGTTAAAATTACTTTTACAACATATATAGTTACTTTTCGGATAATAAAATTTTGCATCACATAAAAAAAGGAATAAAAACATATTACAGCTTATATTAAACTACCTAAAACGGTGTTAACAAAACTGGAAGTAAGAATTATAAAAAGTCTTCAACTACATTTCTTAATGATAGTCCTGAAGGTTGACCTTCGCAAGAGTGTAATTTAAAAATGAGAACAATTGTCATGTTCATATAAAATTTAAGTATAGTTAATGACTTGTGTAACGGTGCAAGATTACGAAGTACAAGATAGTTTAAAAACAATATTAAAGAGAAAATTGTAACTAAAGAAAAAACATGAAAAAGAGTTTTGTATACTAAAAATAACCCTGAATATAAAAAATTTATTAACATTCCCTTTTACTTTATACAAAAACAATT